AGCCAGTATAGCCATTGCGCCATCTGCTGATCCCCCGATACTGCTTCTTTATCTGTTTTTCTCTGGACTGCAAACAGGATTGCATAAGTTTTGATTAACTTTTTTTTTTTTTTTGAGAGGTTGTTGCTGTAGGGCGCGTGTGCGCTCGCCAGACAGACAGAGAGAGACAGAGAGACAGAAAGCGAGAAATCACCCCCCAGGGGGGATGGCCACGCCACACTCCCTTCTCCTCCATTCTCCTCTCGGGATCTTGGGCACGCAGACACACGTGCCCGGTGTGAGTTTAAGACACCGGGTCCGGGACTCGAACCGCGGTCGACTACGTGGGAGTCCAGTGACATAGCCATTACACTAACTGCTGGTCCCATAAACTTTAACTTTCTATCATAGACTTGTGATATTTTGTGGTAGGGAATGGTATAAAATTATATTTTATATAATTATGACACACCTAAGTTTTCTGTTGCTGCTATTTCTAGGTTAGGTGGTTCTTCTGCAAGTTTTCTCAAGTTGTCACACACCTCCCTCAAATTGTCTAACATAATTATGGGGAAGAATGCACAGAACAGTGTGAACCTAGGCCAGCCCTGTGGCCGTGTGGCTCAGGGAGCTGGGCATGCAGTTCTAATCCCAGACCTGGCGTCTTGAAAAACACTCCAGGTACATGGGCACGTATGCCCCGAATCCTGACAGGACGGAGAAGTGGAGACGGCGCTGGGGCGTGACCAGGCCTCCTCTGGGCGTGCTCTCTCTGGTGAGCACATGCGCCCTCCAGCTAGTTTAAAGAAAATAACTTAGGGGGTCGGTTGGTGGCATGGCATGGTGGTTAAGGGTGCTGGACTCCCACGTGGCCGACTGCTGTTCGAGTCCTGGACCTGGCGGCTTGCTTTCTCGTTTTCTCTCTCTCTCTCTTTTGCTCTCACTCTCACTCTGTCCCTCTCCGATCAAACTAAAATCAATCAATCAATCAATAAAAGTTAAATAAGATCATTCTTTTTTAAAAATATTTTTATTTAATTTTTAAATTTATTTATTCACTTATTTTAATTTGACCATACACACAGAGAAAGAGAGAGAGAGAAAGTGAGAAACCAAGCCACCGGTTTCAGGAGTTGAACCAAGGTCAGCCATGTGGGAGTGTCCAGCGCCTTAACCATCATGCCACCTGCTGGTCCCCTAAATAAGATAATTCTTTAAAGAGCTCGGTTCCAACCCGCGTCGTCCAGGGCCCCCCCAGACACGGTTAGTGTCTAACAGCTAACACGCCCGCTGTGGTTGTGCGTGTCCACAGGAAGAAGATGGCGGAGGCCGTTCAGAACCACGTGAAGTCCTTGAACTGGGGACACCGCGTCCAGCTACAGGACAGGTACTGAGCTCACACCGGGGCTGGCCCTGGGGCAGCGGCCCTCCTGCCTGCCCTCCCCACTCTCTCCTGCACAAGCACTTTCTGATAGGCTGCACACAGCACCCCGTGGTGGGTCTGGGGCTCAGTGGTCTCAGGGGTGGTGAGGGGAGAGGGGTCTCTGCTTGTAGTTGGGGATACGGACCTCTAGGCTGGTACCAAGCGGGACCTGCGGACACGGAGGAGCCATGCAGGGCATGTTGGCCGAAGGCTTGGCCTCCCGGGCTGTGCAGGGAGGGGAGCTGGGCTGGGCAGGCCCTTGGGCAGGACTGTGCAGACATTACAGCTCAAGGTCATCCTGGTGGCAGGCTGCTTCCTCCAGGCAGGCCACCATCCTTCCACCACAGGTAGGGATAGAGCCTGGGAGCCCCAAGTGGCTGGCAGCAAAGAGGGTCCCTAAACACCACCCTGTACCCTCTGCCTTCCGTGCTGCGACTCGTGAAGTGGGGAGATGGGACCCTGAGTGGGAGCGGTGGTGGGTTTGGGAAGAACAGACAGAGAAGTAGAGAAAAACAGGGGTGGGGGAGCCAGGCGTCTCCAGCGGAGAACACTGCGGCACTCAGCCTTCCCAGGGTTATTATTATTATTATTTTAAAGAATTATTTAACTTGATTTATTTTATATTCTTATTTATTTTAATTTGACCAGAGAGAGACAGAGAGAAAGAAAGTGAGAAAGCAAGCCACCAGGTCCGGGACTCAAACTGCGGTCGCCCATGGTGGGAGTCCAGCGCCCTTAACCACCACGCCACCTGCCTGCCCCAGCCAGGGTTATTCTTTTATAGGGCAATGGGGGCGGAGCAGCTGACGGTAAAGCCAGGAGTTTTCTGCAGTCCTACAGCTGTGGGGCGCCTCGGGCTCTAAGGAAGCCCCCTGGCCTCTCTGGCCGACGTACTTTCCTTTACCCTCCGCAGCCGAGCAGCATCGGCCCAGCCAGAGGGTCTGCGAGGCTGTGCTCTGCTGCTCAGTAAAGACCATGTTGTCAGCTCGGATTTGGCCCCGGCCCCTCACTGCGTTCCCAGCCTCACACGGAGAACCCCACACCTCCCGGCTCCCACCTGCACACTGAGTCCCACACCACTCTCCCCTCACCTCCACGCCCGAGCCCCGCACCCCTCACCTCCACACTGCGAGCCCCACACCCCTCACCTCCCACCTCTGCCCCCTACTCCATGGACCCTACATGGCTCCTCCCACCTCCTGGGTCTTACCTCTTGAACCCACTTTGCACCCCCCCCATCACCCACAGTCCCCCTCACCTTCACCCACCCCTCACCCCCACCTCCCAGGTCCTAGTGCAGGTCAGAGGAGCCTGGGGTTCCCTGCTGGGCCAGCGTCCCCGTGAGATCGGTGTACTTGGGACATCCGTCCTGTAGTCCTGCAGCCCAGGGGCCGTCTCCTCCCTCCTCAGGCTGGGGCAGGCCGGGCCCAGAGCAGCCCTTGTCTCAGGCTAGCCCTCTCCTGGGCTGTACCTGTGTATCCAGCAGGCGTGGAGGGGACAGTCAGGCACCCAGGTTGGTGGCCCTCACCTGTACCTGCATGCTCGGCCCTGTGGGTCCTCCTGGGGCTCCCAGCCACCCGCAGTTCTGTGCTTGCCAAGCCCAGGAAGGCGGAGCCAGGCCCTGGCCCACCTGTCTGCTCCGGTTTGATGGGGGCCACACGCTCTCCACTGTCCCGGCTCTGGGCGCTCCCAGGCAGGCTCCATGCAGAACAGCCCCGGTGGTCCAGAGCTGCCGGGCTGCAGCCCGTGTGGACTGGGGTATCTCCACGTCCTTGTTGCCGTGCAGCTGGGCACGTTCCGTGTCTGTGCCATGTGGCCGGTCCCTGGCTGTCAGGACGAGGGACAGAGCTTGCTGCAGGAGCTTCTGCAGCTCAGAGGGGCCGCAGCGGCACGGGCTGGGGCGGAAGCACGCAAGCTCAGGGGAGCGAAGGGCGTCACCCTGCCATGCTGGGTCACACGGGGAGGTCCCGGGTTCTCACCCCACAGCCTCCCCACGTACATGCCAGGCCTACATGCCCGTGATGCAGACAGCCGAGGGCCCTGTTGGGGGCACTTCCCCGCCGTGGAAGAAAGAAATACACTTTTAAGAGAGGGAAGAGAAGGGAGGAGGCGCAACCTTCCCAGCGCCCGCCACTGCGGCCTGACGGCTGTGGTCAGGACGTGTGGGTCGTCTCTGCCCCACACGCCTGGCCCCTTCTCACTGGCCATGTTGTACACATCCTCCTGTCCTCATTGTCCCTCTAACGGCACAGGGTGGCACCTACCTCGGGGGCGCCTCAGCTTCCTGCAGGGATGCGCCCAGGTGACGAGGCCCAGCCGCCTCTCAGAGCACACCAGGGTTGTATGCAGCCTCTCAGGACTGGACCAAGCTGGCTTCTGTCTCTGGCTTGACACCCAGGGTTGCTATGTCCCAGGGAGCCTGGGGATGGTGGGGTAGCCCAGCGGGCTGGGCCACCACCCCGGACCTGGGCAGTGGTGGAACTTGCCTCTCAGTGACCAGAATGGAGCTCCCTTTTTTTTTTTTTTTTTTTTTATTATATTTGGGGCACGTGTGCTTACTGGAGAGACAGAGAGACAGAAATCGAGAACTCACCCCTTAGGGGGATGGCCATGCCATGACCCCTTCTCCTCCATTCTCCTCTCGGGATTCTGGACACACATGCACACGCGCCTGGCATGAGTTTCAAGCCACCGGGTCCAGGACTTGAACTGTGATCAGCCATGTGGGAGTCCAGTGACGTAACCATTATGCTGTCTGCTCCTCCCATTAAAAAAAAATTATTTTATTTATTCATTCCTTTATTTTAATTTAACCATAGGGAGACCGGGGTGGAGGAGGGGAATGAGAAAGCAAGCTACCAGGTCTATGGTTGGCCATGTGGGAGTGTCCAGTGCCATAACCACCACGCCACCTGCTGGTCCCCCTGCTCACATTTTTTTTAAAAAGTTGATGAGCGAGGGAGAGGATGGCCAGCATCTGGATTCTCACCGCGGTCCACAGCAGCCTCGGCAGCCAGAGCCACGCACACGTCACACCCGTCGGTGCAGGGAGGCTCTGGGATGTGAACCCGGGACCTTCAAGCTGGCTTCAGCGTCTGGTGGAGCCCTGCACTACAGCTGTGCTACCATGGCGCCCCCACAGCACTCCCTGGTTTTCTCTTCTATTTCTTCTTTCTACTTTGCCACAGAGGGTGCACGCTCACCAGAGAGAGAGGAAGAGAGGGAGCGTGAGAAATCACCCCCAGCGGATGGTCACGCCATTGTCCCTTCTTCAATCGTCTCTTGGGATTTGGGGCATGCACGCCCGTGTGCCCCATGTGTTTTCTAAGCTGCCAGTTCTGGGGCTCGAACTGCGTACGCTGCCATGTGGGATCCAGCCATCTTAACCTCTGCGCCCCCGCCTGGCATGACGCTCCCTGTTGAATTAATTGATAAGGTATAATTGGCAAAGAAACGAGTTGAACATCTTGTTTTCATGTTGCAGAAAAGTCAAGTACTTGAACGTCAAAGCCAGCTTCGTCAGCGAGCACACAGTTCGTGGTGTCGCGAGAGACGGGAAAGAGGTCAGTGCCCGGCTCGGCCGAGGGGCTCCTTCCGACCATCCCCCAGATCCCCAGGCCGCCGTCCCTGCTCCGCTGGGCCTCGACACTGCCCTCAGTCACAGGGGCTGCTGGAACGGAAAAGACGATGCCTTCCTTTGAGGCTGGTCATCATCTTCCTTTATTTTGGAGAGGTATTTTTTATTTTTTGCTATAGGGCACGAGTGCTCACCAGAAATACAGAGAGAAACAGAGAGACAGAAAGTGAGAAATCACCCCCCAGGAGGGATGGCCACACCGCAATCCCTTCTCCTCCCTTCTCCTCCCGGGATTCTGGGCATGCACGCACACGCGCCCGGCGTGAGTTTAAGCCACCGGGTCCAGGACGCGAACCGTGGTTGACTACATGGGAGTCCAGCGACATAGCCATTACGCTAACTGCTGGTCCCTGAGGCTGGTCATCCCTCTTTAAAATGGTTAAACCGTTCGCACCAGGCCTCCCTGCTGGGCATGGGTGGGTCACCACACCCTCTGAGGGGGATTTCGTGGGGATGGGAGAGGTGAAGTGCTTGCTGCAAGAATGCCCCTGTCCCTCTGGCTGTCCCCTTCCTGTCCAGCAGACCGTTGGTGGAAACCCAGCTCCATGGGACCCCTGAGTTGCTGGCCGAGGTCCTGCACTGCAGGCAGAGGGGGCCCAGCAGCTGCTGCCCGGGGCACCTGCAGGCATGCCAACCCTCCGGACGGCGACCGCGCTTACCCGTGTGAAATTCTGTTTGTTCTCAGACTCTGCTTTCCGCCGACCACATCGTCATTGCTACTGGGGGGCGACCCAGGTACCCCACGCACGTGAGTGTCCCCGAAGCGCAGCCTCCCCCGCCCCTCTGCCCAGCCTGCCCAGCACTGACTTCTTTGTTGGTGTTCGATTTAGAAGCCAGAGGACAGATGCCCTAGGCAGACAGAAGGGGAGAGGCAGAGAGCGCCCCCTAGTGGGGTGTGGCCACATGGCAGTCCCTTCTTTCTGTCTGGGTTTGGACAGACAGACATGTACACCTGGCATCTTTTTCCTTCCTTCTTTCCTTTCCTTTCCTTCCTTCCTTTCTTTCCTTCCTTCCTTCCTTCCTTCCTTCCTTCCTTCCTTCCTTCCTTCCTTCCTTCATTTCTGAAAGGTTTTTGCCATAGGGCGCGTGCACTCGCCAGGCAGACAGAGAGAGAGAGAGATAGAAGTGAAACAGAGAAATCCCCCCCAGGAGGGATGGCCATGCTGCAGTTCCTTCTCCTCCATTCTCCTCTTGGGATCTTGGGCACGCAGTTTTAAGTCACTGGGTCCGGGACTCGAACCACAGTCGACTACATGGGAATCCAGCAACATAGCCATTATACTAACTGCTGGTCTCTCTTTCTTTCTTTTTTAAAGAAAGTGTTTTGCTACAGGGCATGTGTGCTGGCCAGAGAGACAGAGAGAGACAGAAAGCGAGAAATCACCCCCCAGGGGGGATGGCCACACCACAATCCCTTCTCCATTCTCCTCTCGGGATCTTGGGCACGCACGCACATGTGCCCAGTGTGAATTTCAAGCCTCCAGGTCTAGGCCTCGAACCAAAGTCGACTGCATGGGAGTCCAGCAGCATAACCATTGTGCCGTCTGCTGGTCCCACATCCAGCATGTTTTTTAAGCCACTAGGACTCAAACCATGGTCGGCCATGTGGGGTCCAGCTCCCTCAACCACTAGGCTATGGGGCCAGCCCTCTTCAACCTTACAGTGTCGGAACATCCAGGACTAAGCCTCATTCTCCCTCCTACTCCTCCAGGCCTCACTGATTTTCACAATTTAAAATAAAATTCACTACAAGACCAGCAGTTAGCGTCATGGCTATGTCGCTGGACTCTCACGTAGTCAACCGCGGTTCGCATTCTGGACCCGGTGGCTTAAAACTCACGCCAGGCGCGTGTGCGTGCGTGCCCAAGATCCCAAGAGGAGAATGGAGAAGGGATCGCGGCATGGCCATCCCCCTGGGGGGTGACTTCTCACTTTCTGTCTCTGTCTCTCTCTGTCCTTCTGGCAAGTGCACACGCCCTATAGCAAAAACCTCTCAACAAAACAAAACAAAACAAACAAACAAAAAAAAAAAAATTCACTACCATAACATCTACCCTTACATAAGCAGCCATTCAGTGGTTTTTAGCATATCAGAGTTATATAACCATCCGTCACAACTACCTCATTCCAGAACATTCTCATCGCCCACGAAATACTTGTGAGGAGACGTCAGATATTTACGGAAAAGTACAATTAAAGTAGGAGCTTATTTTGGTTCAAAAAAAAGGTCAAATTCTTGGACCAGCTGGTGACATGGTGATTAACACAGCCGGAGCCCATGTGGCCCACTTCACGGTTCAAGTCCCGGACCTAGCAGCTTGAAAAACACGTTGGGTGTGTGTATACGCATGCCCCAAATCCCAAGGGGAGAATGGAGGAGAAGGGATTGCACTGTGACCACCCTCTGGGGAGGCGTTTTCCTCTCTCTCTCTCTCTCTCTTTCTCTCTTTCTCTCTCACTCTCTCTCTCTCTCTCTCTCCAGCAAGTGCATGCACCCTGTAGCAAATTAAAAATAAAGGACCAGCAGATGGTGTAATGGCTATGTCGCTGGACTCTCATGTAGGTGACCATGTCTTGAGCCAAGGACCTGGCAGCTTCAAACTCATGCTGGTTGCGTGTGCGTGCCCAGGATCCTGAGAGGAGAATGGAGGAGAAGGGATTGCGGCATGGCCATCCCCCCTGGGGGGTGATTTCCCGCTTTCTGTCTCTGTCTCTCTCTGTCTCTCTAGGAAGCGCATGCACCCTATAGCAAAAACCTCTCTTTAAAAAAAACCTGGGGACCAGCAGTTAGCGTAACGGCTATGTCGCTGGACTCTCACGTAGTCGACTACAGTTCGTGTCCTGGACCCGGTGGCTTAAGCTCACGCCGGGCGCGTGTGCATGCGTGCCCAAGATCCTGAGAGGAGAATGGAGGAGAGGGGATTGCGGCGTGGCCATACCCCCTGTGGGGTGACTTCTCTCTTTCTGTCTCTCTGTCTCTGTCTGTCTGGTGAGTGCATGTGCCCTATAGCAAAAACCTCTCAAAAAAATTAAATAAATAAGAAATTCGAAGTCCACGCCTATGTTTTCATAATATGTATTTTCCACCCTTTTTTCAAAGACCCCCTCGTATATCCAGAGCTGTGCAGCCGTCCGCCCCCACTGCCCCATCCCAGAACATCCTCATGCCTCCCCCTCCTTTCATATGGAAGGGGTTCAGGGTTGAGGACAGGGTCCAGGACAGCAGGAGGAAAGCCCCTGCCAGCCACGTGGGCACAGACAGGCCACCTCTGTCCCCAAAGAGCCCAATGCACCTGCCTGGCCTTGGAGACTCCCAGGAATGTTCTGGAATTTTTCGAAGCCCCTGTGGGCATCTCATTCCTCAGCTTTTTCTTCTAAACTTCTGGGGTAATCGGTTGTTTGCCTTGGCTGTTATGCATCACCTCAAGCAGCGGTGACATCAAAGCCTCAGCCATGCCCCAGGGAGTGGCCCTTCACTGCCCTCCCCACCATGTTGCTGCAAGCCCTTGGTTAATTTCCGAAGCTCTGAAAAAAGTGGAATCTGATCATTCTTTTATTTATTTATTTTTTCTAAGAGAGATTTTTGCTGTAGGTGCAGGTGCTCACTAGAGAGATTGAAAGAGAGAAAGTGAGAAATCACCCCCCAGGGGGGATGGCCACGCCGCGATCCCTTCTCCTCTATTCTCCTCTAAGGATTAAGAGCATGCATGCACACCCATCTGTCATATCTTTCAAACCACTGGGATTAGGACTAGAACCGTGGTTAGCCATGTGGGATCCAGCTGCCTTAACCACTATGCCACAGGCTGGCCCCATCATCCCCCCAGGCCGGTGGGGCCAGAGCTCCGGGGTCCTGGGGGGCAGCTCAGTGGCAGCCCGCCCTCCCTGTCACCCACCCCAGCTGCGTCCTCCCCGGGTGCCCTGCCAAGGCTTACTTGTTTTAGTCACTTTCATTTCCAGACCTTTCTGTTTTTCTTAAGCAACCCCGAGAAATTCCTGACTTTATTTTTTTTGCCAATTGGAACCGTAAATGTTTGAAATCCGCTTCCTCTTCTCACACGTGTCACTCTCCCGGCCGCTAAGCGGGCGTCCACCTGTGGGGCTCCGCCAGGTGAGCCTTAGTGTTCCTGGGCACAGAATCTGCCGGAAGGCGGCCTGCCCAGCGCCCCGGGAGCCCGCGGCCCCCACCCAGCCCCACCTCAGCCTGTGGTGTAGACACCCTGCTCGTTTCACTCTTCCCCTCCCCTCCAGCCCAGCCAGACACTCAGACACTCAGAGCCCTCCCCGGCCCCTGATCGTGACCTGCCTTCGCCCGTGTCCTCTGTCCGAGTCTGGGTCCCCGCGTCGCTGGGGCTGCTCCCACGTCTGCATGCTGTGTGTCCTCCCTTCCTGGAACCCGACCAGCATGGCGGAGGGCGGGGGGGGGGGGAAAAGCCACACCTGTGTGGGCCCTCCATCTCCATCCATGTGGTCCCTGCAGCTGCCATGCCGCCCCTGGCTCACACCTGAGCCAGATCGAGAGGAGGTTCCGGAAAGGAGAGAGTAAAGCCCACGGGCCAGGGTGGCCTGGCTGGGTCGCGTGTGCATGGGCGCCCTCTGCGGAAGTCCCCGGGACAGGCTCGATGGCACTCCTCACGTCGGCCCTCCTTTTCTTGGCAGGTCGAGGGGGCCCTGGAGCACGGGATCACTAGTGACGACGTGTTCTGGCTGAAGGAGTCCCCGGGGAAGACGTAAGTCCCGCCAGCTGCACCACGGTGCCCTCTGCCCTGGCCAGAGCGAGCTCGGGCTGCAGGGGCACGCGCTGGGGGTCGGTTCCTCGCGTGGGCGTTCTGGGTTCCCTGGGAGGGCAGGGAGGCCGCCGGCTGGGCCCCCTGGGCTATCTTGGAATGTCACCTGAAGTCTGTGTAGGCAAACAGGCTTCCTGGGCACCCCGAGTTACAGCGGGGTCCCCCCAGGCATCTGATTGGCAGGTTGGAATTCCCTGGAATCTAGCAAAGGCTCCGAAGGCCTGGGAACCCCCAGCCCGCTTTTGGAAGTGAGACCACAGCATACCAGTGCCTTCCCGCTCCGAATGCGCTGAGCACATTCCGGCCCCACCAGCAGGACGGGTCCAAGCCCCCCAGGTCCAAGCCCCCCAGGTCCAGGCAGCTCCCCGGTGTCTGTGTGGGAGGGAATGCAGAGGGGACTTCGAGCTTGCAGGAACCAGGGAGGCCACCAGAGGGCAGCAAAGGCTTGGCCGTCAACCTCACTTGGTTGTCTTAAGACTTGCCCCAGAAAATGCTGGTGGAAAACCGTCCCAGAGGGGTGTGTATGTGCGTGCGTGTGCGTGCGTGCGTGTGCGTGTGTGTGTGTGCGTGCTGGTGTGTCTTATGTACCTGTTAGAGCGTGCGTGCCTGTGCGTGTGTTCATGCACATTTGTGAGTGTGCAGGCAGGGCCTGTATCGGGCTCATTGGAGTGTGTGGATGCGTGTGTGTGCGTGAGGGCATGTGCTCACGGTACGTCCCGTGTTCTGCTGGTCATTGCGGTTTCACATCTCGCGAGGCGTCTTTGGAGGCAGGTCCTGCTTTCCCTGACTCTCCACCACGAATAAGCAGCCCGATGGTGCCTCTTTTCATTATTATCAGTGCTACAACGTGGGGCCAGCAGGTGGCGTGGTGGTTAAGGCGTTAGATTCCCACATGGCTGGCCATGGTTCAAGTCCCAGACCCGGCACTTCGCTTTCCCCTCCTTTCTCTCTTTCTCTATCTTGAATTAAATAATAGTAATAAATAAAGTTAAATAAAATAATTCTTAAAAAAAATCCCAAAGGTGGCTTGGCGGTCAAGGCACCGAACTCCCACATGGCCAACCCAGTTCAAGTCCCAGACCTGGCGGCTTGCTTTCTCACTTTCCCTCTCGCTCTCTCTCTGTCTCTCTCTTGTCAATTTAAAATAATAATAATGATGATGATGATAATAAATCAAATTAAATAAAGAATTTTTTAAGTTTTAAATACCGCAATAGAAACCTTTGATATGCACCTGTATGCCCATTTTATATTTTTCCCTTTTTAAAATTGTGATCAAATACACTTCATAAAGCTTACCGTGTGGGCCGTGGCGAAGCGCACGGAGCGGCGAGTAAAATACATCTGTGATGTCGTGTGGTCATCCGCACCGTCTGCCTCTGGAACTCTGCATTTCCCCAAACTGAAACTCCGTCCCCACGGCATGGGAATCTCCCGTTCTCTGCACTGCCCAGCCCTCGGCCATGGCTGTCCCCGCTGTCTCCTTGTGCTCCCCTCGAGGCCCTCGGAGGAGTGGGTGGTACGGTGTCCCCGTCCTGTGTCTGGTCTGCTTCCTTGAGCGTGGTGTCCCTAAGGTTCATTCCCGTCATGGCGTGTGTCACAATTGCCTTCCTCTTATTAAAAAAAAAAAAAAAATTAATTGGGACCAGCAATTGGCGTAATGGCTATGTCACTGGGCTCCCATGTAGTCAACCACAGTTCGAGTCCCGG